CCGGCGGGGGCTAGCCGTGGGTTCTTCCGGAGGGTGGCGAAGGGAGCTGGGGAGCGCTAGAGCCGCAGGCGGAGGAGCAAAGTCAGAGCTGAGGGGGCGGACGAGAGTCGGGGCGGAGGTGAGGCCCCGCGAGGAGCATGGAAGGGAGCGGGGCCCAATGCACTTGGCCAGGGACACGTCTTCAAAAGGTCAACCATGCCTTCAGGCGGTTTTGCCTAGTTGCCGTTAACTTGTATGCCAGCCCTAAGCCCGTCCACCATCCCACCTCAGTTCAGCTTAGAGCCCCGATTCCTTTGTCCAGCCCTGGGGTTCCCACCTAGGGCTGAGGATTTCCAGTTTTTAATTAAGAATGACGCCTGACAACCCAGGTGCCTGACCATGCACTGCTGTTTACTGTTTAGAAAACCTTCCATTTGTTCTTCCTAATTGCTCAAAATTCCGAGATATAGGAGCCTTGGTGCTGCAAGGGTGAAGCACCCAGCTGCTAACAACAAGGGGCCTTTCAACCCCCAAACCCAGCGCTTTAACCCCGGACCAGGCTCCTCTCTTAGAGAATACAGCCAAGAAAACCCTATAGGGGGCAGTTCTATCCTATGGGGTCTTCTCTGTGTCAAAATCGACTGGAGGTCACTAACATCTCTTCAGAGCCAAGAGCAGAGGTGGAGTGGGGGAAAAACCTTCTCTGGTCCTTGGTACAAGGAGCCCTGGTGGAGTCGTGGGTCTTGAGATGGGCGGCTAACTGCAAGCTCAGCAGTTTGATTCCACCAGTTGTGCTGAGATAAGATGAGACTGATCCTGAAAGGTTCATGGTCCAGCAAACACTGAAGGGCAGTTCTACTCTGCCTTGTATGGTCGCGATGTAATGGGTTTGGGTTTGGGAATCCATGGTACAACTCTTAAGAATTCTCCATTTTCTTGACAGACATGGCCACTTATCACCCAGAAGAGTCTATGCATTTGCCCCGTGCAGATGCCATTCGGTCTCGGCTTATCGACACCTTCTCACTCATCGAGCATTTGCAAGGCTTGAGTCTAGCGGTTCCGCGGCATACTATCCGGGAATTACTTGGTCAGCAGCTCTTTTCGTCACCAGGCCAACTTTAAGATTCCGATCCCAAACGCTCTAGAGCAGTGGTTCTCAACCTTCCTCAGGCCGCCACCCTTCCAGACAGTGACCCCCAACCATAAATTATTTTCTTTTTAAAAAAAAAATCACTTTATTGGGGGCTTGTACAACTCTTATCACAATCCATATATGCATCCATTGTGTAAAGCACATTTGTACATTTGTTGCCCTCATCCTCAAAACATTTGCTTTCTGCTTGAGCCTTTGGTATCAGTTCCTCATTTTCCCCCTCCCTCCCCGGTCCCCTTCCCTCATGAACCCTTGATAATTTATAAATTATTATTATTTTGACATATCTTACACTGTCCTACGTCTCCCTTTTCTTTTGTCCATCCCCCAGGGAGGAGTTATATGTAGATCCTTGTAATCATAAATTATTTTTGTTGCTACTTCATAATGGTCATTTGGCTACTATTATGAATCATCATGTAAATGTCTGATAGGCAGGATATATTTTCATCTTTGCAAATTGAACATAATGAAAGCATAGTGATTCATCACAAAAACAATATGTAATTCTATATTGTGAAATATGTATTTCTAACGACAAATCAATGAAGATTTGTCTTGAAGCATGGTGTGGCATGGGTAACGGGCTTCACGCCAGGTGCTCTGATGTGGGTGTATCTGCATGTGGGCGGACCCGCCTGGAGATGGATAGAGGAGCTGTGTCTCAGTTCCTAAGACCATCAGAAATAGGTGTGGTTTTTTTAATTTTTAATAGGTGTTTACTGATGGTCTTAGGCGGCCCCCTGTGAAAGGGTCTTTAGCCCCTCAAAGGGGTTGGGACCCACAGGTTGAGAACCGCTGCTCTGAAGAGGAGGGAGCAGAGAGACAAATCTAAGGGTGGAAAATTAGGAAGGTTAGTGTGGTTACTGGTTTGGAAATTATGCCAAACTTAATCAATCAAGGGTTTCATAAATAAAATCCCTTGAATCCAGGAGATAGAACCTTTGTCACTCCCTGTTAGGTGTAGGATAGCTATCAGCCTTGGCTTACGTGGGGAAAATCCTACCAAAGACACCTGAAACTTTGAGAGTTGAACCTGCTGCTTTTCTGTTTGGGCCTGGGCAGTGTTGGTCAATGCCAGTACATTCGCTCTCCCTCCAAGTTTTGAGGAGCTGCAGCCAGGCTACTCCTTAGGTGGCCCATTAACTGAGCAGTAGTGTGGCTCCCTGGAATTCCAGAGTGACCTAACTCTGTGGCTGACCAAAAAGTTGAAGCCCATCCGTAGACACATTGAAGGAAAGACTGGGTGATGTGCTTGTAGAGTATCAGAACTGTGGAGCACAATTCTGCTCTGTTATATCTGGGCTTGCCATGAACCATAATATACTGAAAGGCAACACGTTTTTTTGTTTTATTTCGTTACTAAAACCGTTTTATTGGCACATGATCCACATAGCATACAATATATCAAGAAGAGTTGTACAGTCATTACCACAATCAGTTTTATAACATTTTCTTCATTGTCGTTAACTCTCCATTCCCCCAAGCCCTCCTGCCATACTACCAAGAAGCTGTTAATTCAGTTACTGTCTCTATATATTTATACATCCTGGCTTTCATATTTTAAAAATTCAAAAAACAAAACAAGCCTGACACCAATAATGAAGTAAAACATGAAAACCTCAATTGAAAAGAAAGTAGAAAATAGTAAAATAGTAAAAACTAGAACAAATTTAAAATGAGTCGAAAGTTAAATTTTAACCTAACTGCATCTACAACAATATACTTTCTCATGCATTCTGCATGATAGCAAGGCTGTGCACATCCCTAGTTTTATGGTCAGAGAGAACTCACTGGAGGTTAATTCATGTGTGTTTCCCCTTTGCTTTTTTTCTTTTCTTTTTCCTTTTACTGAACCAACTTTTAAATGGGTCAAAAGGGAGATCAAATGATAATACTTTAACCTACCTATATCTGCCATAATCGAATATACAATGCTCTCTGTCTGATAACAAGGCTGCTTTTATTTATTTATTTTCTTTTATTTTTTTAAAATCCCTGTCTCCAACCCTATCTGCTTTTCATATCCCCCAAAGACTTCGCTTTAGATTTACCCACTGTTCTTTGTAATGTTTGTTGCAGACCCTTCCCATCAGAAGAAACTTATGTTGGGAGATCAACACCAGCTGGTGCGCCTCTCCATAAAGCCTCGTCATACAGAACAGATTACACCTGCCAGGAGGCTGCTGTCCAGGCTTCCGGTGCGCTGCAGTCAAACTCCACCGCTTTCTTTATGGGCCGGATGGGTCCTTGAGCGTATCCTTCCTACCTGTCGTTTTTGTCCCATGGCCGTACATGTTTCATTATCTATCTAGTTAATTTATTTTTTCTTTCCCCAAGTGCCATTTTTTCTCATTTTTACTGCTATTTCCCCCTTGTTATTTCAACTATATAAATCAGTGATGACTCCATTCTGTTTCCTTAAAAGAATACAGGTCCTCTTTTTACAAATTTTATCATCTTTCTCATCTTTCTAAATACGATTGTGCTGATGGTTGAAATAGGTGAGAACTGACACTAAAAGAAGTGGGTGGAGTAATTTTTCTTATAAATTGACCATTTTAGTTTTTACAATGTCATTTGTATTGTGATAAGGACAATTATGTTAAGCCCTTTAAGTAGGATTTGTGCAAATGATAAGACCTAGGAATGTTTGGAGAGCTTTTGTCCTGGTGATGATTTTGGGTAAGCACTGGGCAACAGTTCAAATCCACTAGCCACTCCCTGGGAAAAAGTTGAGTCTGTTTTATCCCATAAAGATTTATAACCTCAGTCACTGTGGGCTTGGTTTTTGGATTTAGAGAGAATGGTATATTGGGCTGCTAGCCACCAGTCGCTCCATGGAGTTGCTAGTGTGTTCAAACTCTTGACCTTGTGGCAAACAATTATTATTTTAAGAATCGCTGTACCCCAGACCCACAACAGACCTTGAGAATGGAAGGAAAATATAAGGCCATGATATGAGAAGTATTTTCAAAAGACTGTAGAAACAAGGAGCAGATTCATGGAAGCATACTGAGTTATAATAAGAAATCATTTGATTCCCTATTATTAGCTTTCATTTAAAATTTTCCTTTTCTTGTCTGCATAAAATTGAGTTTTGTTTTGTAAAGCAAATAGATTCTATAACTCCCTACAGCCTTGCTTGCATTTACTAATTACTATTATTTAACTCACTATTTTTTAACCCTCTTCAACTTTTTTACATACTTAATAGATGTATGAGGTGAGTAAAAAATATTGTGATAGGATTCTAGTTCATTCATGCATGATTTAATTCCAAACAAAACATGGTTAAACATGTCTCTGGTCAGTGGATGGCTCCAGACAAACTCTCACTGTCTTAATCTTGTCAGGGTACCATCCAAAAAAGGTCCAGTCAAAACAAGGGCATCCAAGGGGATCTGCTAGTCCAGTTAAGGTCAGGGCAGAGAGGTCAGTTCAGAAAAGCATGGCAACTATTTTTCAGGATTCCCAAAGGATAATTTTGATAGGTTTTCTCAAAAGACACTGGACCATTGAGGCGGGGGTGGGTATTAGGAAGAAATGTTAAGAAAGCTGAAAACTGCATTGGCGTGAAAAGGCCAGGAGAGTTGTGCCGAGGAAAATTTTTCACATCAGGACAGTGCACCTGCCCCTCTTCAAGGGCTGTTTTATGAATATTTCCTTACGATACCTTCCCCCATCCACCAGACAGCCTGGCCTTGCCCCTTGACACTTCTAGTCCCCACATTCAAAGAACATTTGAGTCCCTTGAGAATGCTCAAATTACTATTTTGATGTGGTATAAATCAAAGAATACAGAATTATTTGAGGAAGGGTTAGAGAGATGGAAACCGCGCCTGTAGAAGTGTTCAGACTTAGTGGAGGCTACGTCAAGAAACAATTCACATTTTTGATGTTTTTGTTTAATGAAGTCTTCTATGATTTTATAGCAATACTTTTTAACTCACACTAGTAGGTATACCAAACTCTAGAGGAAAAAGACTATTGAGCTCAAAATAGACGTGAAAGTCAAACCGAGATTCCGCTGCTATGGCCTTTACAGCCATCCTGACTCTGAAATGGATCAAGACAAAAGACCCACCCCCATGATTCAACCCTTGCAAGAATAAGAATAAGAAAACCTCTCTTTAAAGCCACTGGAATGCTTTACTTCTATGCTTCCTCAGACGATGTGTTTCTTATAGAAGTTTTCATTTTTACATAAACTATCACTCTAATTCTACAGTGGAAAGTTTTTCACATTCTAATATCTCTGATATCAGGATGCATCTTATAATTAGTGATAAA